TTTATTACTTTGCTCCCATAAATGTTATACTAATGCATTACGAAGTTCAAAATGAGCATTTTTTTCCTTAATTTTCTTTATGTCTAGCTAAAAATTGTTCACCCCGGAGATTTTCATCTACCACCATTTATGTCGTTGAAGTTGGAGTCTCTACAACATCTTGAATTGGTGTATTAAGAACCTCGATTATCATGTTGTGTAGTATAATACATGTAACACTTTCTTTCTCCAAAAATTATGATGGTCCTACAATTATTAAAAAATGTGATTGCAAAACTCCGAATGCACGTTCAAAAATTAATGATATAATCAAATTATATTACTAACGAAAATTGGAAAAAAAAATTGGAAAATATTATTAATTCAGGATGAAAGTAGTATATATATTAAATAATACAACTTTTAAAATATTATATTACATTTAAAATGAATTATGAATATTCGATATTTTATTAATGATATTATATGCAAAATAATATGTTAATTAAAAATAATTAGAAATAATAATAAAATATTGAAAAAGTGAACAACTCTCTAAAAATAAAAGAATAGAGTTTAAAATAAAGAGGGATTGGAGTGCACCTTCTCTATTTCTCTTCAGATATACTAAAATTAGGTAAATTACCCGTGCTTCGCACGAGATTGAACTATTTTATTAAGCTTACATATGATCATTTGGTAATATTCATATTTTCGATACATACACTACATTGTCAAGAACATTTTATCTTAAGGCAAAACGTTCCTCCGAAATCTTAAAGTGCTATATTTTTTTTAATTTCATTTTTGTTATACAAAAATTATGAGTCATAAAAGAGATTTTTAAGTATAAGAAAGAAGTCTAAGAAAAATCTCCATGGAAATAGTTGGTCAGAAGTATTGAAATTTTCTAAATTCCAAGAAGTTATAAAGAACAACATTAGACGTTAAAGAAGAGACCAAAAAGTCTCGAACAATAACACTCCCAAGTAAAGTGGAACATCACGTCCATACAAGAACATAATTAACTAAATTCAAACGGAGGACCTTCGGCTCATTTCTAATGAACCTCTATCAAACTCTTTTTTATTATAGTATGTTGTATCACGTATATATTAAAAATGACCTAAAAATTGTTAGTATCATAAATGTTTTTCCTCATTGTCTCAGAATAGTCATTACTATTGCTTAGGTTTCATATTACCGGCTCCAACTTATTTGGAATTGAATCATAGTTATTGTTATGGTTATAGTATGCAGTTACAATGAGTTAATGCAATTATCAACCAAGCTGTATGAGTCATCTAAATGGATTGTTCACAACTGGATATTCTAAACCAAAATTTTGACGCATAACATATTAAAATCTCACAGCATAATTTTGTGAGCACTTGAACTCACAAATATCCACAAATAATAATAACAACATTGTTTTCCTAACAATCAAGAAGAAAAAGACATGTTGCTTAACATATTTTTCAAAAAGATAGTCCATCGGGCAATATCCAAGTTTTCAGTTCACAAATTTAATTGAAAGAGTTCAAAAAAAAGTCACCAAAATAACAAAAAGAAATTGCAATAGATATATGAATCACTATGACTTATAGTAAAAGATGAAGCTTCATGAAATAGGAGGAAGAAAACTTTGAGGAATGAAACACACTTCATAAGAAGCTTAATTAATGTATTTGAATTCGACTCCCCTATAGCGAAAAAAACCTACAAATAATAGTGGCAGAAATAAAAGTTTTGTTACTAAAGAACCAAATGTAATGAATTCAACCATTTCAGCAACATTATGAGTTGTGGATTGAGAGGTGCAAGAGTAGTAATGTCACATTGCAATTAAATTTTCTTTGTTTATATGAAGAAACCTATAGAAAGGGACAATCATCCTTACTGAAACTTTTAACAAAGTGAAAAAAAAAGTCACCAAAATAGCAAAAAAAAATTGCTATAATACCACGAATCACTATGACTTATAGTAAAAAGTAAGCTTCATGAAATAGGAGTAAGAAAACTTTGAAGAATGAAATAAACTTCATAAGAAACTTAATTAATGTATTTGAATTCGACTACCCTATAGCCGAAAAACATACAAATAATAGTGGCAAAAAATCCCTCTATTTATAGACAACAAATGGTAGTGTGAACAAATGTTTATTGTCCATTATCGAAAAGATCACAACTCTTTGAAAAAGTCACAACTCTTTGGAAAAGTTACAACCCTTCGAAAAGGTTACAATCTTTCATAAAGTCGCAACTCTTCTTAAAAGTCGCAACTCTTCTTAAAAGTCACAACTTTTCATAAAAGTATAAAACTAGTTTTGAAAATAAATAAATAAAAAGTAAATTCTGATTTATGGTGGCGCCATATATACGATAGAGGTGGGTCGGAGATGGTATGATGGTGTTTTTTAAACTTTATTTTGCACCAACCATGAGGTTCAAAACTGCTAGTCCCTTGGGTTCTGAAAAATGAAAACAAAGAAACAATAAGAAAAAAAAAGAAGAGAGAATGAAATAGGATTCCAACCCAGAAATTGAAGAGGAGGAGAGATGTAATTAGATTAGCATAGCAGTGAAGGAAGTGGAGAGACTTGCAGAGAAAGATAAAGAAATGGGAGGAGGAGGAGAAGAGGATGAACAGAAATTGAAGAGCACCGCCGTACAACGTCCTCGTAGTCATACGGCGCGCAACTTCTACTTGTCAGGTTTCCCTCCCTTTTCTAATTTTCCTGTTCAATTGATAATTTGTATGTGAGTTTTGGGATTGGATCGAATTTGATAATTCATTGATGCCGGTTTCCTATTCTGCAAACAGTTTTCATGACTTCATGAATGAAACTGGTCCACAAGACATCTTTCATGTGCTACATTGTTTAGAAAGTATAATTGGCTAGGGTTAAAAATTATCATCACAGAAAATCTACCAAAGCAATTACTAACAAATTAGAGACATAAGTTGAGATATAGAATTCAAACAATGGAACTTACTTTCACTTATAGCAAAAACAATTCTTTCAACCAACACATGGATAGGGAGGCATTCAACATTATATGCAAAGCCTAATATAGGCTTTGCTACAGAAACCGATCTTTATTATCCATGGGACTCTGTTTGATGTCAATTGTATAATCCCTGTACAAAATAAGAAACATACTTGTATTAGACATCCGAAAACTACCAAAATATGATTTATACAAAATTTTATGGCTGGAAGATAAGTGTAACTAAAGGCACAATGAAGCTAAGCATATTATGTCTTGTTTAATTTTCACATTCTCATTTCCTCGTTTACTGTAAACGGTAAATAAATGCCAAAAGCCAAACATTTTAAATGGATTGAGAGATGATTTTGGGGAAATTACTGAAACAGTTGATGCCTGTACAGGATAAGAAAGATTTAAGTAAAACTGACTAGAGTAGAAGTTATTGTCATTCGATCATGGGGGAAAAGATCAAAGGTTGCAATTACATTAATGTGGGTTGAAGTGTGTGACCATTTCATTTAAAAGCTTAAGCTGTTAGATAGAACCTATTTTTATTTTCTTAATTATATCTTCAACGACGTGAAAATATGAAAGAATAGATGCTTGTTTGTCTTCTTGCATTACAGATAGTTCAATACATTTGTTTTAATATGATGTAAGATGTTTGTATGTGCACGAGTTGTGTGTATGTTATGAATCTTTAGGGAATGATCGATTCACAAGGCGATATATAAATCAGCTCGTTAAAGGGAGGCTGAAACCTTAGAATTCATTAAAAGAGAACTCCGATCTCTTCAGCTCTTCAAAGGGAGACTGAAACCTTAGAGTTCAATGGAAGAGAGAACCCTAATCTCCTGCTTTTTGCTGAATTATGACTTACTGATTTATTCATCAAAAGCCCCTTTAAATAGGAGTCTTATTACATCAATAGGAAGTCTAATTCTTATGAAAGTAGGAGACCTAAATCCTATTCCAAACTAATAACTATAACTTAACCTAATCCTTATGAAACTATGAAACATAAATCCTATTCTAGAATAATAAATAAAACAACTAAAAATATAATTAAATACTTAATTTAAGGGCTTCCAACGCATCCACAACATTACCCCCTCTTACGTGGAAAGAGCTTGTCCTCAAGCTCGAATTTCACGGCAATCATCAACTTATCCAATTCCAGACCTAGCTTATAGTTGACATTGATAAATTTCGACTCTATCAGTTTGCTGAAGCATGACTAATTTG